TGAGTTTCTTCTGTAACTCTCTCTCTCTCTGTCTCTCTCCTAGAGCTGCTAGCCTCCTCTGGTTATCCTGCAACTGTTTCTTTTTTGGTCTACGTTCCTTTGAAGCAGTAGCATGAAGACAAAGCTCTTTGTTTTCCAGAAGGCTTCTCTTCCCATCCTCATGTTTATCAGCTTCACGTTCTGGACTTTGATTGCTTACATCCAGCTTCAACCGTTTTGAAAGCAGTCTGGGGCTTTTCAATTGTCGTTTAGCGTGTCTCTGGGACGCTGCAGCATTGCTATCCATGTCACTGCTCTCATCTTCACCCTGACCAGTACAAGGAGCAGCATTTTTGTTCTCTGACTTTTGCTTGCCTTGTGTAGAGCTCGCATCTTGGTTCTTCCCTTGCAAGTGTGGCCTGGACACAGGCTGACCTCTCTCATCTGCAAGGGAGGCGGCATCTGACAGTTCCTCCTGTGGTTCACAACGCGTATTCTGTCTCTTTTTACTGCCGGGTTCAGGTGAATACATTGGATGGTTCTTCCGCTGTCTTTGAGACAACTCCCCTCCACAGGAAGAAACACAAGGTTCAAGATCTAATCTTTCTGCAGAGCCCTTCTCTAAACCAGTGCTGCCCCTCGGTGACTCTTTTTCACAAAGGGACCCCATTCCTCTGAAAGGCTGATATTTCAAACGCAAATTATTTTGTCCCTTGGAGCTTGCTTCATCAACGTCCTCCTCCCCCACCAAAATCGCAGCAAGTACATCTTCAGGACAGATACATTTTTTCCTAACTGCAGGGCAAAATTTAGAGAGTTTTGTTTCATTTGCAACATTACCCTTAGGATATTCTTCAACACTGTGCTGACTAGAGCTCTGCGTACTGTCCGATTCTGCTCCACGTGTCTCAGTAGCTAATGCTTGTAAGTCATCCAGTGTAAGGTCTAAGCGGTAACAGTTTTGCATCATGCATTCATAATCCAAACTGATTTCAGACTCCCCCTTCTCAGGCTCTGAACAAGAGCTTTCACTATCACTTGTCTTCATTGTACTGTTACCTGCTGTGCTCTGCAAGGCACCAGTCTGGGATTTTTTCATTTTCCCTTTTTTTCCAACATATTCTTTTAAATTATGAGTTTCCACTGAGGAGTCGTTTACCAAATCACTTTTTTTCCCAGTTAAGATTTCTTCATTTTCTGCCTTCACCTGTTTACAATCTTCTAAAACTGCACAGTTCCTGCTATGTAGACGTGGAATTTTACTTTCAGCAACAATTTCATCTGTATCTGCTGACTGATAACCATTATCACATTCCATAGTCTCTTTCTCTCTAAAACTTCCTGTGAGAGCTTGCTTCATGGCATCTGGATTGCTTGAGGACCAGGAATTACTGCATTTTAATTCAAAATTGTCCCCAACAATTTCCAAGTGGTCACTTTCAGCCTCCCCATTTTCAGCTTTCTGTACTTCTCTCTCTCTCTC